GGGAGCGGCCACTGCACTCCAGTCTGGGCGACAGAGTGAGACTCCAACTCAAAAAAAAAAAAGACTAGTAAACTTGGTAGCTGGCCCACTACATTAGTGATAAGGACTAAACAGGATACCACAAATTAACAGGACGCCACCCTGACCTATCAGAAACCTGGGTTTTAAAATATTAAATATTAACTTCCACTTTCATTGTAAGAATTTTATTATAAAAGGAACTATTTTTTCTAGTAGACATGGAAATACATTGAACTGAATTTATTAGAAAATGAGTTCTAGTTTTTCTTGTCATTTCCCAGTTTTTTTTAAATGCTCATAAAATGGACTTTTCTTTTGCTGACCTAGACACTCTGGTTGCTTGCTGAAAGACAATTTTAACTAAAAACAAAAGCATATGTATTAGAAAACAGAACTTTTGTAGGGTGGAGTATATCTCTTACCACTTGCTGGTATTTGTTTACATTTTCTTGAAGTGTGTTAAGCAGAAAACTGAAGATTCTTTCCATGTTCTGGGTTAATGTTTGCTGGATGTCCCTTCTTCTTTGAGGGGGAAGTGTCTGAAAGGTCACTACATCTTCTGCCAGTCGCAAAAGGATGAACATCACTAATTCTGTCTGTGTCTCCTATACCAATAGAAATAAGCTAATTAAACAAGATGTCTTTTTTATTATAGGTATATCCAAAGGCTACTTTCTGTTACCAAAAACCAAAAAAATGCCCCTGAAGTTTATATATTGAACTGATACAGCTATATCTCATACCCCTTGTTTGGAAAGAGCGTCCAATTCTACCAGCATGTCAGGCCAATGCTGTGGCCATTCTCGTTTGATCATTTCTACTACAATTCGAGACAAAGCATCTTTAATATGGTTTTCCTCCTCCAAAATGTTCAACGTTCCCTGAAAAAGAACAAGAGGTATTAAGAGGTGTGCAAGAGCCGGGCTCGGTGGCTCAGCCTGTAATCCCGCGCCTTGGGAGGCTGAGGTGAGTGGATTGCCTGAACCCACGGGTTCGTGACCCGCCTGGGCAACTTGGTGAGACCTCATCTCTACAATAAATCAAAAAATTAGCCGAGTGTGGTAGCGCGTGCCTGTAGTTCCAGCTACTTGGAAGGCTCAGGTGGAAGGATCGCTGGAGCCCAGGGGGTCGAGGCTGGGGTGGCCAGGAGCGGCCAATGCACTCTAGTCTGGGCGACAGAGTGAGACTCCAACTCATTAAAAAAAAAAAAGAAAAAGAGGTGTGTAAGACTGAATGCCAGGGGAAAAAACATAAAAACTGGGCTGTAAAAGTATACAAAACTCATCATGAGGCCTGCTTTTAAACAGAACAAACCTGTTCTCCATGTCTGAGTCACTTGTCCTGCCTTCTCACTAATCATTCTTCCCACTTAAAGCTTAAGTGAGGGTTGTATCAGCTAATAAAATGGCTGTCAAACAGAGCCAGGAAGACATTGTTGTTCTTAACAAACTGAAGAGATTCTCATATCGATCATTTCAGTTTTTTAAAGAGCCAGAGTGGAAGAATATAGAAATAAGGATTACAGGGAGAGACTGGTAAATGGGAGGGTATAAAGGAGTGACTGAATATTTTACCCATAGTTCTAGCATTAGAAGACACAGAAGTATCAGAAAATATAGATCCTATCCTCATGCCCTTTACTTTAAAAAAAAGAGAAAAGGCTAGGTATTTTAAACATGTTTAAAGTCATATTCTAATGCTTGAAGCAAATTCATTCTGCATGTTTTTCATTAGTAAAACGGTTGTTTGGAATAAAAGGAAACAAAGTAGACAGTGTTTCCATCGAATTTGGATTAAGAATCTTATTTATTTGCTGAAAATGTTTCATCTCGTCTGTCTTATCTTTTGTTTTGTTTTTTTGATTCGGGTCTCACTTTGTCACCTAGGCTGGAATGTAGTGGCAGGACCATGGTTCATTGCAGCCTTGACCTCCTAGGCTCAGGAAATCCTTCTGCTTCAGTCTCCCAAGTAGCTGGGACTATAGGCAAGCGCCACCATGTCTGGCTAGTTTTTTGTTTTTCTATAGAGACAAGATCTCACTACGTTGCTCAGATTGGTCTTAAACACTTGGGCTCAAGCAATTCTTCCACCTTGGACTCCCAAAGTGCTGTGTTTATAGGCGAGAGCTACCATGCCTGACCTACCCTGTCTTTATAATTTTAAAAACAGAAGTCAACACACAAGGGTGATTAATTAAACATAGTAAGAAATGAATTAAGATTTATGCTATTTGACCTATTTCAAACAGTGAATTTTTATACAAACTCTACGTTGAAGAAAGTATACTTTGTCCAAACTACCCTGGAAACACATGTCTTCCAACCACCCATTCCTTACATTTGCAATCAGCTCCATGACACTGTTCTTCAGATAGACCTTCTCCAATCGAGACATGCTGTTCCACCGAAACCTGGCAACCAAAATGCATCAAGTAAACAGAACCACATTAGAAGTATACTTTTCACAAGAGAACAGCTTTGATTTCTGCGTTAGGTTATACTAGAAGTTTCATTAAATTATACTTTTGATCTTGTACCCTTCCAAAAAATGGACAAAAATAGTCCACATTTAACCAAATTGCCAAGATTCTGAAAATCTCAAGAAAAATTTTGAAAAATTCTCGAGAAAGGGTTTTATATATATTAGTCCACTAATTGGAATCCACACGGAGTTTGTGCCACAAATCTACTTTTCCCCATGATTTTGATAGGCCAAAAAAGTTGGAAGAAATTTTCAATTATTCTCACATAATCCTGCTTTGGATATGCCATTCAGAGAAGACACACATGAAAGAAAAGAGAGAGGGGTAGGTGGTGAAAGGGAGGGAGGAAGGAAAATAAGAAAGGAAGACAGAAGGACAGGCAGACATGGCACTAATCAGAGCTCTATTTACCCGTATAGGTATTGTTCTAAAAAGTCTTTGAGGGCTGCCAGCATGTAGTGGGAACTAATTAAAAGCTGGCTAAATGACTAGCAGCTATAATTTGTTGAATGTGTAATATGTACCACGTACTTAACATGGATGAAGAAACTGAAGAAAAGAAAGGTTAAGTCCTGAATGAGAGCTCCTGGGAGGTTCTGATAACATCTTGGAGATAACATCTTCTTGGGATTGCTCTTTTTCACTCCCTACAAAGCATCTCTATAGGTTATATAAGAAATAAAGATTCGCTGTCTCACAGACTTCACTGGTAATGTCCAAGAGCTTACTTGACAACGTGTTCCAGGATCTGAAGGCCAAAATGTCTGACGATGGCAATCTGTGTTTTCTCAGCCAACCTCAAGCCACAGGGCACACAGATAGGGCACTTTTCTTTAAACTCTTCACAAAACTGTAAGAAAAAAAGTTAGTGTTTCCTTCGGGAGCTAGGTGAGAGTAGAGACTAAAACAATTTCATCTCAAGAAACTCCAACCTAAGTTACATTTTTAAGTTGCAAAAACTAGATCAATATCAAATGAATAAAGAATTGGTAAATACTTCTTCCAGTTTGATAGTTCCAGATTTTCCATGCTTTGGCCAATAGTAGCCTTAATTTTTGCTTTGTTTTTAAATAGACCTAAAGGAAGAAAAACACCCCATGAAGTACATAGGGGTGAAATGATAGTTTTTAGGATTTGCTTTACAAAACGCTGGGCACAGTGGTTCATGCCTGTGATCCCAGCATTTTGGGAGGCCAAGGCAGGAGGATCGTTTGAGGCCAGGAATTTGAAACCAGCCTAGGCAACATAACTAGATTGAGACACCGCCATCTAAAAAATTAATTAATTAAAAACCTTTGAGGAAGGTAGAGGGTAGGGGGAGATAAAGCTTGTTTTGTGACCGAAACAAGCGGGATCACTGTAGTATTTGCTCCACTTGTGTGTTTATTTTAAACATTTCATAATAAAAAACAAATGAATCAAACCCAAGTACTTGATTCCAAACCCAGTATATATAAAACTTCCTCCAAGTGGCGCTCACTGTACTTTATTAAACAACATTACTTAAAATTTGTACAGCACAAGTATTTTCTCCTAAATGATTATTTCTCACAGCCCACATACATTGTTTGATGGGTGAATAGGCTCGAATTGCATTATCACCCCCAAACTGCAACAGGAGTCAGTCCCAGAGACAGAGCATAGGGGACTCCAGAAAACTGCTTTCAGGAAACCGAAGTGCCCTTGGTAAAATGCAAAGTGGTAGAAGTTAATCTCTGTGCAAAACAGTCTAAGAATATCAGACACTAATAAATACGAGAGGAAGGTGTGTGTGAGAATTAGCCCAGAAACGTCCAGACACAGATGAGGGTTAGCGAGAGATGTAAGGATGTACAAGGACACTAGAGAGGAGGGAGCTCGGTTAGGACAGGTCAGAGGAGGGTCAGCGGGAAAACGTTTAATGCAGGAGACCGTCAAGAACCAAGCTGGTGTTGGGGGCGGGATCTGCACGTGCGCCTCGGGAAAGCGAGGGGCTGTGGGGCTTGAAAAATGGATGCAGCCGGCTGTGGAGGGGTTGTGGCGCGGACAGGAGTGAACAGAAGTGGGGAGAGGCGGAGGAGAGGGCAGTGGGAAGTGGCGATGAGATGAGAAGCAGCTAGGGACCGGACTGTCCCGGCAAAGGGCAGGAGCGGAGATGGCGGGGGGTGGAAAGGCGCGGAGGGCCGCGAGGGGAAGGTCCCGGGAGTTGGGAATGGAGGTCCAGGGGCCGCGTGGGCGGGAGACCACCCAAGCGAGGGGCGGCGCCAGGGCGACTGGAGCAGGGAGAGGGTCTCGGGACCGGCCCTGGGCGCCAGGACCCCCGCTACCTTGAGGGCTTCCAGCCGGTAGCGCTGGGTGGAGCTGGGGTCCATCATGACCGTCACCGCTTTCACCAGCTGCTCGCACAGCGCGTTCACTTGATCCATCGCCATACCTAGCGCCGCAAGCGCACACCACGGCAGTCCCGGGAGCACGAGGCACTACGGCTCCCTCGGCGGGACCACACGTTGGTACCGGGCCGCGGCGGGCTGAGGGGAGGGGAGCGGGAGGAGGAGCGTGAGCAGCAAGAGCCGGAGCCGGGAAGGAGCCGGCGCTGCGCACGCGCCCGACCTGCCACTGCGCACGCGCCTGCGGAAGTGGCGGCTCCACTGTGACGGTTGCTCCCGGGTGGGCGGAGCGGGAGGCGGAAGGGCCGCGGTGCGCAGGCGCGTCAACGGCCCTTGGCTGCGCGCGCGCCGTCCGACCTCAGTCCGGCGGGCTTGCAACTGAGCGTAAATCTCGAGCTGAAGCTCTCTGGGCTGTGCTGGCTGTTGCCGGGGCAGGATTCTTTGCCGCCCCTTCTCCGTTTCTCCGTCGTCCCGAGGACTAAATCTCTTTGGAAAGTCACTGACCCGCTCACAGAAAGGAGACAAAATACTCAAGACCCTTCAATTTCCTTTCAGTGGACACCGAGCCTGGCATCCGCGGCATCCGCTGTTGGCAGTTTTGTCAGGAGTTTTCTACCGTGGTAAGAAAATGTATTTTTGAGTCGGGGTCCCACTCTGTCGCCCAGGCTGGAGGGCAGTGGCACGATCATGGCCTACACGACTTCCTGGGCTCAGGCGATCCCCATCCCCGCCGCCTCGGCCGTCGGATTAGCTGGGGCTGCAGCCGCAGGCCACCACGCCCGGCTAACTTTTGATTTTTTTTTTTCTTGTAGAGGCGAGGTCTTCCTATGTTGCCCAGGCTGGGTTCGAACTCCTGGGCTCAAGCAGTCCTCCCATCTCGGCCTCCCAAAGTTCTGGGGTTACAGGCATGAGCTACCGCTCCCGGCCGATAAGAAAATTTAGAACCGTTCGGTGTCACTGTTTTCAGACTTTTCCTGCTGTCTTGGCTAAGTGGTTTTATGATGTAGCAGTGACTGGTCACACACGGAGCCGACAGAGTACTGTCTCTCTGGTATTGTCCACTAAGATTCTTCCTGTAGAAAAACATTTTTTTTCCTCTGTAGCTCTGTTTTTTTGTTTTGTTTAGTTTTGTTTTGTTTTGAGTTGAAGTCTCACTCTGTCGCCCACACTGGAGTGCAGTGGCACGCTCCCAGCCACCGCAGCCTCGACCTGCTTAGACCTGTCTCGTCGTTTGTGCTTACTTTCCTGGATGTGTTACTACCTGCTCGGCACCAAACTTGTCTTGTGCAGACTGAGATACATCGAGTTATTTAAAGATTAATAATTGTAATGAGTGAGGGGTTGTGCAGTTTTGAGAGTTGGCTAAATGCTATGGATAAAAATCTCAAAGTCGTGTATCCTTATCCCAAAGCAGTGTTTGGGCAGAAAGTGTTCTTCATTTTCCATCCTTATAAATGAAAACTCTTGCTTTCTCTGATAAATACATAAACTGAAAATGTCAACAGCTTTGTTACCTGTTGATGTCTGCATATCTGTTTTTGTGATTGTGTACTCAGTGAAACGTTTGCCAGACTTAAATCATTGTTTCCTCTTCTTGTTCCACTCAATTCCAGGATATTGCATTGGAAGTAATGTGGTCCTTAGCCCGTGTTTTTTTGTGACAGTGCATTTGCTATTTGTTGGCTTTATGTGTTCCAGTATTACAGAAAAAACAATTCAGGGTAAAGGAATTTCTGGCATGTTATGGTTTTAGCCGTGATTGTTTAAAGTGTCACATTCTCAAACATATGGACTTTGCATCAACTTGGATGGATTTAGAGTCTATCATACTCAGTGATCTATCACAGAAACAAAGGACAGAGTAACACATGTTCTCACTCATAAACCGACCTCCTTGAATAATTATCATAATACTATAAGAAAGGGACTGGCAGTAGTGGGAAACTGCCAGGGGCAGGGGTATGGGATTGACAGTTGAGGGAAACTGCAGGGGGAACAGGACAATGGGACACACCTCATCAACTAGGGTACCTGCATAATGAACATGAACGTTTGTATACCTAACTCTGAATTGTACCCCCCCACATCTTTAAAATAAAAAATTTAGAAATTTCAAAAATAAAGTATCCCATTCTGCCCGTTTTAGATGAGCGATCAGTTGGAATTCTTAAGTAGTTAATTTTGACTACTATGACTTTCTTAATTCTTTGCTTCCTTTTCACAAATCTTGCTTTGTAGTTGCATGACACCTTTTTTTCAAGATGAATGTTAACTTTTGAAAAACTTATTTTAGAATACAGTTGGGTGGTCACTCAACCGTATAACCTGTTTCTCATATTTAAGCCATAAACTACTGGTGTTTCCATAGGGTCTTAGTTACTTTAGATCAGTGGTTTTTAAACTCTGCTGGATATTGGAATTGCCTGGAGGGCTTTTAAAAATCCTGTCGCCCTTTATGTGGTCACACCCATTCAATTAAGTTAGGATAGCTGGTGGTGGAAGTCAGATGCCAATATTATTTAAAGGGTCCCAGGTGATTCCAATGTATAGCAAAGCTTAGGAGTCACTGCTATATATTTCTTCTTCCAGATCACTAAGTGTTAAATCATAACAGTATCCATTCTCAAGTATGTAAAGTTTATTCTTCCAGTCCACCATTCATATCTTTATGTATATCTGTGAACAGCATATAGTGTTTTCATTTGTGTTTCAAGGTTTACATAAGTGAGTAGAAAATCACAGTTAAAATGCTACAAAGTAATTGCTCCAGGCAAGATTCGTTGACAGGTGCTTAGAGTGAAACATTGAAGAGAAATTGGATATTGCATAGTTTCAGAGTATCCTTGATATTACAAAGGAAAAAGTAGTAACTTTACAGTGAGAAATGAGACAAAAAACATTTAACTAATTGATCATGGTTAGCATCACTGGTAATAAGACATGTTGGTATCATGTTCTCCTTCCCCATATGATATAAACTGAGAAGAGCAGACCCCTGCCATATTCTTGCAAAAATGCATAACTTTAATCACAAGAAAATATCAGACAAGCTTCAATTAAGAGACGCTCTCAAAACAGCTGACCAAACCCTTCAAAAGTATCATGATCGTGAAAAACAAGGAAAGAGTGAGGAAATGTCACAGATTGGGAGAGACTAAGGAAATATGACTAAATACACTGTAGGAGCCTTTATTGGATCCTGGAGCAGGAAAAAGACAGTAGTAGAAACATTGGTAAAATCCAAATATGTGGTTGAATTAATAATAATATACCAATGTTTGTTAATTTGACAATTGTGATATGTAAAACGTTAGCATTAGGGGAAACTGGGAGTAGGAAAACTATTTTTGTGATTTTATGTTAAGTCTAAAAGTATTTCAGAAAGTTTAAAAATTTTCATGAATGCTAAGATGTTTTATCATTTTCTACTCTCACTTCCCTAAATTTATACTTGACATCTGTCTGTCAACTAGATTAACTTTTGGTTCTCTCTCCATAGTGATGTGCACTGTGATTTTAATTTGTATTTCCCCATGACCAACGATGTCGAATTCATTTTCATGTGCGGATTGGCTATTTGTGAAGTATTCCATTTTTTTGGGAATGAGTATTTTTGAAGCTTTTGATTACTTATTACCTTTACAGTGCTAATTTATTCTTATGCCACCAGTGTTAGGCTGAGTATCTGTGATATTATGTATATGCATATTGTTTTTCATTCACGGTGCCTGGCTCATAACTCCTGTATCCTTTGTTATAATGTTAGGATGCTTTTAGGCCTCACATGCAGGCCTCAGAAAACCGAATCTCTTTCTCTCACCTTCTACCCTTTTTTTTTTTTTTTTGCCTACCCAAGGCAGGACGCTAATCTTCCCTGCCTTTCTGATTGTGGGTCTTAAAATGCTAATTTCAGGAGGAGTCTTGCCCCATACACTGGAGGAAGGAATGCTGCACAGAGAGGCCAAGAAGAGTATGATCAGACAGGCCTTCTGGGTTCCCCCACTCAGTCTATTAGTATTAGGTTATACCCTTTTTGTCCAGTCACATTTCTGCATGGTTGTCAATCATGCCTATTCAATGAAATCTCCATAAAAGACTCATGAGAACAGGATTTGGAGAGCCTCTGAATAGCGGAACACATGGAGATTGCTGGACAGTGGCATGTATCTCTTCATCTGTATCCTTTATAATATCTCTTCATCTGTATCCTTTATAATCCTTTTATAATAAATTGGCAACCAAATGATTCTCTGAGTTCTGTGCCCCACTCTGGTAAATTAATCAAACCCAAAGAGGAGGTCATGGGGAACCCTGATTTATAGCTAGTTGGTCAGAAACACAGTTGTAAAACAACCTAGGGCTTGTGATTGCCACCAAAAGTGGGGAACGGTCTTGTGGGACTGAGCCGTCATGCTGTGGGATCTGGCACTATCTCCAGGTGATGGTATCAGAATTGAATTGGAGGATACCCAGCTGGTGTCTGCTGTATGATTGATTGCTTGTTTGCTCGTGGAAAGATATTCCCGCATATCTGGTCACAGAAGTCTACTGTGTCGATTGTTAAGAGAATAGGAAAAATACTTTTTTTTTTTTCCCCACTCAGAGTATCCCTAATCCAAAATTTGAAGTGCTCCAAAATTTGAAACCTTTTGTGCACCAACACAAGGCTCAAAGGGATTGATTATTAAATCATTTTGGATTTTCAGATTGGGGGTGCTTAAGCAGTAATTATAATGCAAATATTCCAAAATTTTAAAAATTCAGAAATCTTAAAAACTTCTCATTCCAGGCATTTCAGATAAGAGATACTGAACCTGTATATGAAAAATACCTATTTATTTCATTCTTGTTAATTTCCATGCTCCCATCCTTATGGCAACTCATCAGTGAAAGAATGAAAATACAGTTTTCCCTGGCATTTTGGGTTAGGTGTCTCTAACTGTCCATACAATGTTGTCTTACAGAAAAATGGCTACTGGACAGGATCGGGTGGTTGCTCTTGTGGACATGGACTGTTTTTTTGTTCAAGTGGAGCAGCGGCAAAATCCTTATTTGAGAAATAAACCTTGTGCAGTTGTACAGTACAAATCGTGGAAGGGTGGTGGGTATGTATCACTGTTATTGTTATAACTGTTAACTACTTCTTTAATCTGTGGCAATACAGTAGCACTGTGCTAGGTCCTATTTTTAAGATTTTTGAACTGTTTTGTTTGGAATTGCGCGGAGGCATGTGTGGTAAAAAAAGTTTCTAATAGTAAATGTTTATAGCCTACTTGTGTTAAATCTTAATGCTTTTGCTTGTGGTCCTGTAGTATGCTTGTAATCATGTAATATGTTTTCTATTTTTTTCTTCTAACCTCAGAATTATTGCAGTGAGTTATGAAGCTCGTGCATTTGGGGTCACTAGAAACATGTGGGCAGATGATGCTAAGAAGTTATGTCCAGATCTTCTACTGGCACAAGTTCGTGAGTCCCGTGGGAAAGCTAACCTTACCAAGTAAGAACAAACGTTGTTTAAGGGAACATAAAGCAGTTGCAAATAATATCCCATGAGGCTAGGAACTGGTATTCAAATTTGTTCTGTGTAAATAACATCTGAAAGAGTTCCCTTTGGTCAGTTATTTTGTCAGTTGAAAACCACTGTTACTTATATCAATTGCTGTTTTTTGGCACCCATTCAATTCCTTAATTGTTTACAAATTGGTTGTTAAGTTAAAACTTAATACCAATACCCATGTTCTCAGTACAAAAGTCGAAAGTATTTGAAATAGTTGACTGTAAGAGTTTTTCCAGGGAAGGCTGAGTCATACTGATATTCTAGTGCAATATCTAGAATTATTTGCCAGAATTGGACAATCCCAAAGCAGATTGCTTTGCTTTGTTTTTGGATTCAGTTATTTCTCCCCAAATAGTAGAAGTTTGGCCTTGGAATGGGAGACGTGTAGGTATAGCCAAGTCAGAATAGGCACAAGCTCCAGCCATTAAAATAACCCTAATTGCTAATGTGTACTGATCATATATCACATGCCAGGCACTTTAATCTTTTTAATCTCACATTGTTATAAGGTAGGTACTAGTATTACTCTCCTTTCACAAATGAAGGAATAGATGAAGTTTAGAGAGTTAAGTGATTTAAGTTCACACAGCTAAGTGGAACACTGAGGGCTCATACCTATTTTTTCAGATTCTAATCTTTATATTCTTAAAGCACACTATACTTTGTGGTATGTTATAGAAATCATGCTTTGACTTGGGACTTGAGGTATTTCTGAATTCACCTGTGGATTAGAAGTCTACAAGTAGTGTGGCATAGCCAACCCCACACTGGAGTTATTGCCAGAAAATAAGACATATTTGACTGAAGAGTAGAGTATTCTTTTCTGGCTCTATGATTATAATATTCTCTCTCTCTCTCTCTCTCTCTCTCTCTCTTTTTTTCTTTTTCTTTGAGGCTTGACCCTCTTCTTCCTAGCCCAAATAATGATTAATTTTTTAAAACAACAAAAAAAATATTTTTCTAATTCTCTCATTTGAGAATGTTTTGAAGCAATACCTTTATTCATTTTCATAGATGTCTTGATGAAGAGATACACATATTTTCTTTTTTTGAGTCGGAGTCTCACTCTGTCACCCAGGCTAGCATGGCCACCACAGCCCAAACCTTCTGGGCACAGGTGATCCTTTCACTTAACTGAAACCACAGGCATGTGCCGCCATGCCTGGCAAATTTTTTTGATTTATTGTAGAGGTGAGGACTCGCCACGTTATTCAGGCTGGTCTTGAGCCCGTAGGCTCAGACAATCCTCCCACCTCCTCCTCTCAAAGTCCTGGTGAGATTACAGGAGTGAGCCACCATGCCCAGCAAATATTTTCATTTTTATGGTAAATATAGTAAGCTCAACAGGAACAAAGAGCTTTAAATTACATAGGAGGTCTAAACCAAAGCAAAGAAAATATCTGTGTATTGTTATAGAAAACTAGTAATAAGGTCAGAAGAGCTGCTTATTAAGGTTTGAATAGAAGGTATATAGTGAGAATGGTATCCCCTGTGGAAGATTGTCTGCCTGCCCAGATGTATCACATTCTAAGTGCTTATCTGGAACTTGATAATTTGAATGTTCATATATCCATAAATAATTGATTGGAGTATGTGTAGTATGCATGTGGCAATGGCTAGTTCACATGTTAACTAAACTCACCCTTGACTGAAGTATAAAATATGTTAACTGATAGTGAGAAATACTATCCTAAGAAAGATCAGTTACTCTGGTTCACTGATCAATGTATTCTGCCTTGTAAGTTACCTCTTTTTGAAGACAGAATTAGAAGACTTTGCAGTGGATATATGAAAATAACAAAAAAGAGGCAATAATAGTTAAAAATCTTTTCTAATTAAACTAGCTTCATTTATTTCCTCTTTAGAAAGATCCCTTTCATGTAAACATGTTCATGGTCTAGATGCTTTCTATCTTGGTAGTGCTAGTGTTGTATATGAAATGTTTGCCACCATGGTTCTTCCTTTTCCTTATTTCTGTTATTGACCATCTGCCTGCCATCTGCCATTGACCCCTTGAGTTGTTACTACTACCTAGTTTCTCTTAAGCCAATTGCCTCTTGATTGTATTATTGTATGATATTATATTATATCTGGAAGGGTGAGGATGGGGCAGACAATCTCAAGGTTGCCTCTGTTTATTGCCTAAATGTATGATCCTTATACTTCTTAGGTACCGGGAAGCCAGTGTTGAAGTGATGGAGGTAATGTCTCGTTTTGCTGTGATTGAACGTGCCAGCATTGATGAGGCTTATATAGATCTGACTGATGCTGTACAAGAGAGACTACAAAAGCTGCAAGGTCAACCCATCTCGGCAGACTTGTTGCGAACCACTTACATTGAAGGTTTGCCCCAAGGCTCTACAACAGCAGAAGAGACTGTTCAGAAAGGTACTTCCATGTTGCATCATATTGCTTCTGCTTCCTGCCTTTGGAACCTGCTTTGCTCGGTCATGATGATTCTTCTTGGAATGACTGAAAGAAAACTTAGACTACAGCCTGAATGTGTCACAAGGATGCATATGGAAGGATATACAAATTTTCTTACCTTTTCAGGTATATGGATGTTGAGAAGCTGTGAAATCTGTATGACAGTAAATTTCTCTTTAGCTACAACTAGGACAGGTTAGTGTTATCAACAGACGGCAGAGGCCGGCTGACCCACTTTCATCTTTTGTAGGTTAATTTACATTATAAACTTAGTTTCTTCATCTGTAAAAAGGATGAGCCTTTTTAAGGCGGAACCTCAGGTATTGAGTCATTCAACATTTCTAATCGATTCTTAGCACATTATCATCTATGATCTGTGCAAGGTCCTTTCATTTTTCTTTTACTTCTTTTCCCCTTTGCAGTGATTCTCCTACTCCTCCTCCACCCTGTTCACCCTCTGGTGCCAACTGTTGTATTTTAGATATGTATATATCATTATAAGTTTTACAATATTGCTTTGTTTATGTGCTTTTTATTTTGTGCTTTTTAATTATAAGATGATTTGTTGCCATTACAAATCGCATTCTTAAATTTCCTTCAATGCTGATCTTGAAGATCTATCCATGTGGCTGTATTTATATGTGATTGATAGCTTTTACCTCCAGCATAATCCATGATATGGATCCACTGTGTTTACAGATCATTCTCTCTAATGGTGAATCCACTGGTTGCTTCTAATATTCTACTGTTCATATGATGAAGGCCCTTATACATCCTTTTTGGACCTATGTAAGGGTTTCTCTGGAAAACGTTTTCAGGAATGGACTGCTAGGTCATAGGGTATACACATACAAGGTCCAACAATTAGTGAGCTCATCCTAAAAAAACTGCTACATACCTCATTGCTGATTATCACTATGGCCACCTTTAAAGTATTCCCCTTGGAGAGCTATGCACTGACGCCAGTGCCTAGTCTACCTGTCAAAGCAATTTTGGAACTCTTTTTCTGGAAAGGCTATCAGAGCTATCAGCGTATTACCCTTGATGTCCTGAATGTCATCAAATGTCTTTCTGAGCCACTGCAGTGGCTCTCTCCTATAATCCCAGCATTTTGGGAAGCCAAGGTGAGAGGATTGCCTGAGCTCACGGGTTTGAGACCAGCCTAGGCAACTTGGCAAGACCTCATATCTACAATAAATCAGAAAATTGACTGGATGTGGTACTGCACTCCTGTAGTTCCAGCTACTTGGAAGGCTGAGACGGAAGGATCACCTGAGCCCAGCAGGTTGAGGCTGCGTGGCCATGAGCATGCCATTGCACTCCAGCCTGGTAACAGAGTGAGACTCTGACTCCAAAAAAAAAAAAAAAAAGTCCTCCCTTCAATATTTCCTTTAACTTCAGGTAAAGAAAAATGTCACTGGGGCCTAGATGCCAACATAAGCATGTGGGGTGAGTTCACGAACTTAATTGTCAGAACTCAACAAATAACAACAACAGCTCTGATGGCCATTCCAGAAAAAGAATTCCAAAATTACTTTGATAGGTGGACTAAGTACATAGCTTCCCAAGAGGAGTACTTACAAGGTGACCATTCATTCAGCAATGAGATATGTAGCATTTATTCTAGGATGGTTCACAAACCTGATTGTCGGACCTTGTATACTTATTAGTTTCACTAAGTACTGCCAAGTTACTCTCCAAAATCTCTGTAACTGTTTACATTCCCCCTGAAAGTACATAAAAGTTCCTGTTTCCTCCATATTCTTACCAACAACTGCTATCATCTAATGATTAAAAATATTTGTCAGCCGGGCTCGGTGGCTCAGCCTGTAATCCCGCGCCTTTGGGAGGCTGAGGTGAGTGGATTGCCTGAGCCCGCGGGTTCGAGACCGCCTGGGCAGTGAGACCTCATCTCTACAATAAATCAAAAAATCAGCCGGGCGTGGTAGCGCGCGCTTGTAATTCCAGCTACTCGGAAGGCTGAGGTGGAAGGATCGCCAGAACCCAGCAGGTCGAGGCTGCGGTGGCCGAGAGCGGCCACTGCACTCCAGTCTGGGTGACAGAGTGGGACTCCAACTCAAAAAAAAAAAAAAAAAAATTTGTCAATGTAATGACTATAAGGTGTTTATTATTAATTGAGTTAATCAACTCTTTATATACTTGTAAACCAGCTGAGTTTCTGCTTCTGTGATTTGCTTATTTAAAATATTTATCCAATTTTTCTTATGAAAAATTAGTTTTTGACTTGTAAGAACTCCTTGTATGCCCTAGTTAGTCTCTTGTCTTTTTTTGAAGTGTGGTCTTGCTTTTTTTTTTTGAATTGAGGTTGCCGAGCCTATTCACAGAATGCAGTGGCTATTCACAGGCAAAGTCATAGCTCACTGTAACCTCAAACTCCTGAGCTCAAGCAATTCTCCTGCCTCAGTTTCCTTGGTAGCTAGGACTACCAACCAGCTTGTGCTACCACACCTGACTCACTCTCTTAGTGGTGACTTTTAATGAACACAGGCTCTTAATTTCATCTAATTTATCGTTTTGTTTTCCTTCATGAATGGTATTTTTTGTGTGTCCTATTTAAGAAATTTTTACTTACCTGAAGATCATGAAGGTATTCTTCTGTTTTACTCTAGAAGCTTTATTGTTTTGTCTTTAACATTTAGAAATACAATTCATTGTGTGTATGTTGTGTATGAGTGGTGTGAGTAGGGATCAAGATTCCTTTTTTGAATGAGTATCCAATTATTACATCTTTACTAAAGCTTTACTTTTCTCTACAAAGGTCTAGTGCATTAACTTATGTTAGTTTTTTTAGATGCTTAAATTGTTTTTGCTATTTTGATTTTATTTTTTATTTTTGAAGTGGTAATTGATGTGTAGGAGAATGATAAATCTTTTTTTTTTTTTTTTTTTGAGTTGGAGTCTCACTCTGTCGCCCAGACTGGAGTGCAGTGGCCACTCCCGGCCACCACAACCTCGAGCTGCTGGGCTCTGGCGATCCTTCCACCTCAGCCTTCCAAGTAGCTGGAACTACAAGCGTGCGCTACCACGCCTGGCTAATTTTTTGATTTATGTAGAGATGAGTTCTCACCAAGTTGCCCAGGCAGGTCTCGAACCCGTGGGCTCAGGCAATCCATTCACCTCAGCCTCCCAAGGCGCGGGATTACAGGCTGAGCCACCGAGCCCGGTGGGGCTTGTTTTTAATAGAATATTATGAAAGTGGAATTCACTGCATCTGCCAAAGCAAGTAATTCTGCAGCTAGTAGCTTTTCACCAGAGTGTTTACATCTTTTTCCTAGACATTTTCTAGTACTTTTGATAATGGCTGCATTCAAAACAGCCTATTTATTCTCCCCTTCATTTGTAACATGTAATTTTGAACTATTATTTTGTAACATTGTTCTTATTCAGAAGAACTCTTTTAGTAAAAACCTTTGAATGGTGGACATTAACCAAAAGGAAATTATCTGAACACTACTCTGTAACAAGTTAGCTTCATGGAAGAACTGTAAGGCAATCATTATTACTTATAGAAACAGTACAGATTTGTCCAGAAAAAACTCCAAGAGAGTTTAGCTTATTTCTAGTTACAGTGATGAATTGTCTATGGGATCTGTGGGTTTTTTTTTCCCTAAATGTAGATTTATTAAAGGAAAAAATACATTGTGAAGAACACAACAGCAAGAATGTCTGCTGTCTGCTGATGGATATTTAGGTTGCTTCAGCTATATTATAATTTCTAAGAGTAACCCCAGGCATAAATGTGCCTTGACATATATCTTTTGGTTCTCCTGATCACAGATTGGATCTGTGTTTTAAAATAAAATGTAAGGTATAAAATTTGCTTTTGCTGTCGAACGGTTGTATAATGCATCTTCAGTGTGTTATACAGAAGGGTAGTAGTCAAACTGCCTAGGGAAGCTCACAAATTAAGGAATTTTTTTGTTTTGTTTTGTTTTGTTTTTTGAGTAGGAGTCACACTTGTCGTCCAGGCTGCAGCGCAGTGGCATGCTCACTGCCACCACAGCCTTGATCTGCTGGGCTCTGGTGATCCTTCCGCCTCAGCCTTCCAAGTAGCTGGAACTACAGGCACATGCCACTAGGCCTGCCTAATTTTTTTATTTATTGTAGAGACAAGGTCTTGCCAAGTTGCCCAGATTGGTCTCGATCCCCTGGGCTCAGGCAGTCCTCTTGCTTCCACCTCCCAAAGTGCTGGGATTACAGGCATGAGCCACCAAGCCCAGTGTGTAGCTTTTTGAAAAATAAAAACGTTTGGAATGGAATTGGTTTTATAATGCTTTAAATCTTTGGTTCTTGAGGGTTTTTGAGGGTTATATATTTCAAAAATCTGTTGAAAACTGTAGTCCCTTGCCTCAGAAAAGTGCATATCTATACATAAGACAATTTTGCATGCAGTTTTCAGGAGATTCACAAACCCTCTGCAACCCACATATTCAGAATTAGAACTAGTCTTAAACATTATGTTGGTTTTAGCAGCAAAACATGCTGAGCTCTAATATCTCCGGCTGAAGATGGTGATATATATACACCTTCCTTGGTGGTCAAATGTTAACTCAAATGGACATGCTCCTCTTTCTTCTATACTTATCTTTCTTATCTATGTACATTTTTGTTTAAAATGTCCATGTTTATAAAGAAATCTATTTCTGAATGTCTTATGTGTCTGTTGTTTTAGTGTATACAGCTTAAATATTAAACTCCCAAATGTGTTGACAACATCTTATTATTTATGTGTAATGTTCAAAACAGTGCAATGTCTGGTAAATGGTTTATGAAGATATTTCGTATCCTATTCCTGAGTCTGTATGATATGCTTAATCAAAAAAACTGATAACAGAAATTAGCTGATCTAAGTGGATATAACCTTTCAGAAATTATTTTCATGAATATGCAAAATATTTCAAATCTAGGAAAAGAAGCCAGGTATTTGTAATATTTCGATACTGAGGATTTCATTCAACTTTGCCATTTTGCCTCTTAATGAAGTTAAGAGCCAGCAGTCCTCCTCAGACATCTCACATTTGCAATTTGGGATTTTCTGTTTCTGAAATAGTTATGTGTGTGGAATGTTGAAGTAGCAGAATTTACTTAAAATAATCCTCACACTTTCCAGGGTGAAAACATTCTCATTATTGCCATTTTGTAACTAGTTTGTTAGCTAAGAACTGTTTTGTTTTCTCCTCTCTTTGCTTCCTCTTAATTAATTTCTTTTATTAGTATTAATATTAGTATTAGTATTTAAGTGAGGAAGCAGGATTTATTGAGGACAGAAAAGCTCCCAAAGTAGGAGGGGACCCAAGGGGGTTGCCCCAATTAATTTATTTTAAAGTACATATTGAGCATCTTCTGAATGCATATGACATGAAACAGTATAATGGTATAAGAAATGACAAATTAATCAGCCTGGGCAACATCAAGACCTTGTTTCTACAAAAATAAAAATAATTAGCCTTGTGCAGTGTCTCATACTGCTACTTGGGAGCCTGAGGCAGAAGGATCATCTGAGCCCAGGAGTTCAGGGCTGTGGTGAGCCATGATCCTGTCACTGCATTCCAGCCTGGGTGACAAAGTGAGATCCTGGCTCAAAAAAAAAGAAAGAAAAGAAAAGAGAAATTACAAGTTAACTGTCAAAAAAGAGAGTTTTGGGGAGTTAGAGAGACTCTTTGCTAGCCTTGAAGAAGTAGGCTGCCATGTTGTGAGAGGGCCTTTGAGGAAGACCACATGGCTAAGCTCTGAGAGCAGCACTCTGCTGATAGCCAGCAAGAAAATGGTGACCTTAATCCTACAGCTACTGGAGATGAGTTCTGCCAGCAACTAGAGGGAATTTGGGAGGCACTAACCAGCTTGCAGCACAAATAAGGGCACATTTATTACTGCAGAGCCTTCTCTATTTTAGCTATGGTTCCTGGAGTTGTGGGGTCTAGGTAGCCAGGGGTTGATGAGTTTAACCCTAAAGCTTGGGTGCAAGTTATCAATGCTCACTTATGCCAGTTCCACTCAACACTGTACTGGAAGTACAAGACAGTACAGTCAAAATAGAAGAGGAAATAAAAGGTATACAGATATGAAGGAAGAAGTAAACAGTCTTTACATGTGATGTGACCATGTTTGTAGAAGAGCCTAAGGGATGTATAAAAAACCCAAAACCTAGAATGAGTGAGTTTTTAGCAAGGTTGCTGGGGGCAAGGTCAATATGCAAAAATCAATAGTATTTTTATATACTAAAATGAAAAATTGGAAATTGAAATGAAAAAATCAACGTTATTCATAATAGCATTAAAAATCATGAAATTGGCCAGTTGTGGTAGCTCACGCTTGTAATCTCCATGCTTTTGGAGGCTAAGGCAGGAGGATTACTTGAGGCCAGGATTTTGATACCAGCCTAGGCAAAATAGTAAGATCCTGTCTCTACTAAAATGAAAAAAAGAAAAAAAAATTACTTTCTTTTTGATTTGGAGTCTCTGTTGTCCAGGCTGTAGTGCAGTGACACGCTCATGGCCACCATAGCCTCGACCTGCTGGAGTTCAGGCGATTCTTACTACTCTGCCTTCCAAGTGGCTGGAACCACAGGCACACACCACCACACCCAGCTAATTTTTTATTTATTATAGATATAAAGTCAGAGCTGGCTAAAAAAAATTTTTTTTAAATCATGAAGTTACTAGAGATATATGTGGAAAATGAGTATGATAAAAACTATTAAACAGAGTTTTATCAATAATAGTAATTATAAAATAGTAGCCAGGCACTGTGGCTCAAGCCTGTAATCCCAGCACTTTGGGAGGCTGAGGCAAGTGGTTTGCCTGAGCCCACGGGTTGGAGAACAGCCTGGGCAACTTGGTGAAACCTCATCTCTACAATAGAATTTAAAAAATTAGCTGGGCGTGATAGCATGCGCCTAAGTTCCGGCTACCTGGAAGGCTGAGGCAGAAGGATCGCCTGAGCCCAGCAGGTCGATGCTGGGGTGACCATGAGCGTGCTACTACACTCCAGCCTGGGCAACGGAGTGAGACTCCAACTAAATAAAAAATATTTTCTAATTGAATAACAATAGAATTCTTAGAGATGTTCAAGGGGAAGTAGGGAGAAGAAAATTCAAGAGAACCAGGGAGAGAAAACATTTTTAAATCATTGCTCATATTTGTTGCACAATAACACTATAAGTTTTAGCCTATGATGAAGCTAAGGCTGCTGGAAAGAGTATGAAGGAGAAATTGATCATTCTTGTAATTAGTCTTTTAAACTGGCTGCCATTTTTTGTGAAAGCCTATATATCTAAAGTACCTGAAATTTAAGCATTTCTGTATTAGCACAATTAAATAATTTTTTAAATGTCTAAATGTGACTGACCTCTCAACTTTTTTCAGAGGAGATGCGAAAACAAGGCTTATTTCAATGGCTTGATTCTCTTCAGATTGATAACACCACTTCTCCAGACCTAAAGCTCACCGTGGGAGCAGTGATTGTGGAGGAAATGAGAGCAGCCATAGAGAGGCAGACTGGTTTTCAGTGTTCTGCTGGAATTTCACACAATAAGGTAAAGGCTAATTACAAATTTCAAGGAGAAACATCCATATCCTTAGTCAAATACAGCAAGGATAGTGAAACATTAAAATTAGTACACATATACTTTGAAATGAGTTTCTATTTAAAATTCATGCTGAGGCCGGGCTCAGTGGCTCAGCCTGTAATCCTGCACTTTGGGAGGCCGAGGTGAGTGGATTGCCTGAGTCCGCAGGTTCGAGACCCTCCTGGGCAACTTGGTGAGACTTCACTTTTACAGTAAATCAAAAAATGAGCTGAGTGTGGTAGCGTGCGCCTGTAGTTCCAGCTACTTGGAAGGCTGAGGCAGAAGGATTGCCGGAGCCCAGCAGGTCAAGGCTGCGGTAGCTGGGAGCGGCCACTGCACTCCAGTCTGGACAACAGAGTGAGACTCCAACTCAAAATAAATAAATAAATAAAATTCATGCTGAAACCCAAATAAAAGTTAAGTTATTCTTGGCCAGGCTCGGTGGCTCAGCCTGTAATCCCAGCACTTTGGGAGACTGAGCTGAGTGGATCGCCTGAGCCTGTGAGTTTGAGACCTACCAGGGCAACTTGCCAAGTTTGTATCATCTCTACAATAAATAACAAAATTAGCTGGGCGTGGTAGCATGTACCTGTAGTTCTGGCTACTTGGAAGGCTGAGGCGGAAGGATCACTGGAGCCCAACAGGTTGAAGCTGCGGTGGCCGGGAGCGTGCCACTGTACTCCAGTCTGAGCGACAAAGTGAGACTCCAACTCAAAAAAAAAACACACAAAAAAACTTAAGTTATTCTTTAACATGGAAACTGACACGAAATATGAACTTTCCTAAGAAGCAGGCTGAAAAATTACAGGAAATGTTTGTTTATATAACTACATCCAAAGTAAAGTTCACCCACTGTATCTGCATTCTGAGATTCAACCACCCTTGATTGAAAATATTTTGGGAAAAAGGTCAGGTGTGGTGGCTGAGCCCAGCAGAGTGAGGTTGTGGTGGCCGTGAGTGTGCCACTGCACTCCAGCCTGGGTGACAGACTGAGAGACTCTGATTCAAAAAAGAAAAAAGATTTGGAAAAAAAAATAACAATGCAACAGTAAAAAATACTGCAAATGAAAAAATAATATATAGCATTTGCATTGTACAGTATTTGATATTATAGGTAATCTAAAGATAGGTTGGGCATGGTGATTCGTGCCTACAATCCTAGCACTTTGGAAGGCCAAGACAGGAGGATTGCTTGGGCCCAGGAGTTTGAGATTAGACTGGGTAACATAGTAAGATTCTGTCTCTACAAAAAATAAAAAATTAGCCGTGTGAGGTAGTTCACGCCTGCTGTCTCAGCTACTTGGGAAGCTGAGGCTGGAGACTCATCTGAGCCCAGGGGTTCAAGGTGTGGTGAGCCATAAACATGCCACTGCACTCCAGCCTGGGCAACAGGGGGAGACTCCAACTAAAAAAAATAATAAGTAATCTTAAGATGATTTAAAGTATACAGGAAGATGTGTATAAGTTATATGCAAACACTATGCCATTTTATATAAGGGAGTTGAGCAACCCCAGATTATAGTATCTGCTGGGAGTTCAGTCTCATGCAGATACTGAGGGAAAACAGTATTTCCTTAACTATCTATGAAAAAGAGGAAGCTAGTCTTAGCATACACACACACACACACACACACACACACACACACACACACACACACACACCTATTTTATTTTATTTTCATTGGCTAAATATTTTTGTATTATCCTGTGTTCTTATGTGGTGTTACCTGGGTTTTTTATGCTTTTGCCCATTTCCCTTCTTTTTTAAAATTATTTTTATTTTTGAGTTGGAGTCTCACTCTGTCACCCAGACTGGAGTGTAGGGGCATGAACTTGGCTCACAGCAGCCTTGACCTCCTAGGCTCAGATAGTCCTTCTGCTTTAGCCTCCCCAGTAGCTGGGATGATAGGCATGTGCCCCACACCTGACTAATGTATTTTTTGTAGAAACAAGGTCTTGCTATGTTGCCCAGGTTAGTCTTGAACTCCTGGGTTCAAGCAGTCCTTTTGCCTCAGCCTTGCAGAGTGCCTGGATTGCAGGAATGAGCCACCATGTCTATCCTCCCATTCCCCTCCTTTCTGATCAGAGCAGTAAGAGAAGGATTGTATTAATTTTGACTACTATTTTCATTTAGGGAACATAATTCTCAACAACCCAGGGACAGAATAACTAATTTTCTGATTAAATATTAATAAAGTGCAGCAAGGACTTGGGACCATCATCTCCTTCTGATCGGGGTCAATAACTGGGCAGTAGATGATTATCCTCGGTTGATACTTTCTCTCCCTCCTTCCAGTAAAAGGGAAGTTGCTAAACTGCCCATTAGAGTTTTTTGTTTTGTTTTGTTTCTGGTTGGGTGGAGGGAAAGGAAACAATAGTTCTAGTGTACTTTACTTTTAATCTTAGTTTTAAGTTTTTTGAGTTGAGGTTTCATTCTATTATTTACTTTTAAATTTTTTGTAGAGACAAGGTCTCGCTGTGTTGCCTCAAACTCCTGAGCTCAATCCTCCCACTTTGGCCCCTCAAAGTGCTGGGATTACAGGCATGAGTCACTGTGCCTGGCTCCCAATGTAATTTAAGTCAGACTAAATGTTGCCTAGTAGAAGTCACTAAAGAATCTCTAATGAAGTTAAAGATTATTTTATATTTTTCCTATCAATTATAATTTGCAAAATGATACCACTGAAGTGTGCTTTATTCTTTGAAAAGAGTTCTCAAGGATTTAAGTTTTTTCATTTAAGTTGTTTATAAATAAAAAGGTGTTTGTTATTAAAGGATGATTTTTGAGACCAATCTCTATAACAGATACTAAATTATGATAATCTGTATTAAATTAGGGACTCAAAATGGACTGTTAATCCAGAAATGTAGGCCTGGCACGGTGGCACATACCTATAATCCCAGTGCTTTGGGAGGCCAAGGTGGGAGGATTGCTTGTGGCCGGAACTTGAGATCAGCCTGGATAACATAGCGAGACCTTATATCTACAAAAAATAGAAAAAAGAAAAAATTAGCCAGGCATGGTGGCGTGTGTCTGTAGTCCTAGCTACTCAGGAAGTTGAAGAAGGAGGATCACTTGAGCTCAGAAGTCTGAGGTTACAGTAAGCTATGATGGCACCATTGCACTCCTGCCTGGGCAACAGAGTCAGACTATGTCTCTTAAAAACATGCAAAAAAGGAAATGTAAATAAATGAGGAAGGGTAACACAAGTTTATTCCAGTATTTTGTATGATCACACTAAGAAACGCATCTTGCTTGGGTTTCTTCTTCAGCTTATGCACTTTGTAAATGGGAGTAGGTGGAGAGGAAAAAAATGACTAATAGAAGACTAAATGGAGCTGGGCTAGGTGGCTCAGCCTGTAATCCCACGCTTTGGGAGATTGAGATGAGTGGATTGCCTGAGCCCACGGGTTTGAGACCTGCCTGGACAACTTGGAGAGACCTCATCTCTACAATAAATCAAAAAATTAGCCAGGCATGGTAGTGCCCGCTTGTAGTTCCAGCTACTTGGAAGGCTGAGGCGGAAGGATCGCCGGAACCCAGCAGATCGAGGCTGCGGTGACCGGGAGCGTGCCACTGCACTCCAGTCTGGGAGACAGAGTGAGACTCCAACTCAAAAAAAAGAAGAAAACTAAATGGAAGAGAAGTGGGGAGAACAATGAGGATAATGATAATGGGTAATTTCCACTGAGAATGGTGTAAGACTCCAAGTTTTAGAGATGTCTTGAGTTTCTAGCTTTATTTTTGTTTTTAATGTGGACTCTTAGTTACAGCCTTTATATGCTGTGTGTTGTGTAGGTATTAATATTCATGAATTTGGGGCCAGGTGCAGTGGCTCATCCTGTAATCCCAGCACTTTGGGAGACTGAGCTGGGAGGATGGTTGAGCCCAGGTGTCTCCCAACCTGGGAGACCTTGTCTCTACAGTAAATTAAAAAATTAGCCAGGCTTGGTGGCATGTTCCTGTAGTTCCAGCTACTTGGAAGGCTGAGGGGGAAGGATCACCTGAGCCCAGCAGGTCAAGGCTGCAATAGCCATTAGCATGCCACTGCACTCCAGCCTGGGCAGTAGAGTGTGACTCCAACTCAAAAAAAATAAAATAAAATAAGGAAAAACATTCACCAACTTGTTGGGAAGCCAGTAATGAGGTTTTTACACTTTCCATACTTCCAGGTCCTGGCAAAACTGGCCTGTGGATTAAACAAACCCAACCGCCAGACCCTGGTTTCACATGGGTCGGTCCCTCAACTCTTCAGCCAAATGCCCATTCGCAAAATGTAAGTATTCAGGCAGTGCCTTAAATTTAACTCATATATGGACACTCTTTGGTTGTAGTTTGTGTTCCTAATGAAGGGTTGGAGCCAGGGAGAATAGGCTCCAGGCAATTAGAAGGGAGACAGCACAGAAATTTTTGAAAAACAGACTTTTTTTTTTATATCAGAGTATCACTCTCTCGCTCAGGCTGTAGTGCAGTGGCAACACTCATGGCCTTTGCAGTCTCGACCTGCTGGGCTCAGGTGATCCTTCCATCTCAGCCTTCCAAGTAGGGATTTTGCCATGTTGCTCAAGCTGGTCTTGAACCCTGAGCTCAAGCAATCCTCTTGCCTCTGCCTCCCAAAGTGCTGGGATTACAGGGATGAGCCACTGCACTTGGCTGAAAAATAGACTTTTTAAAAAATGAAACTTTGCCGGGCTCAGTGTCTCAGCCTGTAATCCCGCACCTTGGGAGGCTGAGGTGAGTAGGATTGCCTGAGCCCGTGGGTTCGAGATCCGCCTGGGCAACTTGGCGAGACCTCATCTCTACAACAAATCAAAAATTAGCCGGTCGTGGTAGCGCACGCCTGTAGTTCCAGCTACTTGGAAGGCTGAGGCGGAAGGATCGCCGGAGCCCAGCAAGTCTAGGCTGCAGTGGCCGGGAGCTTCCACTGCACTCCAGTCTGGGTGACAGAGTGAGACTCCAACTCAAAAAAAGAAAAAAGGAAAAAAAAAAGAAAACAAACAAACAAACGAAACTTCAATGCTAGATTAGATATGGTAGATTCTTACTCCTGAATTTAAAAAAACAAAACAAAACTGAGTTTTAGCTATTGTAACTTTCCTCTAGATTTTTATTCAAGTCTGTTATTATGTAACACATGGAAATTTTACTTCTTTTCCTTCATCTAATATCACATCAAGGTGTTTAGAGCTGCTAAACTGCTCCTAAACTGGGCATGAGAGAAAAGAATCCAAATCAAATTAATAACTAGGTTGCACCTACCACTTAGATGTCCTTGACAAGGGCTCATAATACTGTTGAAGGGACAGGATCAAAGCAGCATTTAAAATGCTGTCATAAGACTGCATATGAGTAATTGCTAAATTAATTGTGCAGGTGGTTATAAAACCTCACACACAAAAAAAGAGACTAATCAGAGAATGATTTTTTAAAAAGGCATAGGATTTTCTTTTCTTTTTTTTTTTTTTGAGTAGGAGTCTCACTCTGTCGCCCAGGCTGGAGTACAGTGGCACACTCACAGCCACAAGAGCCTCCTCCTGCTGGGCTCAGGCAATCCTTCCACCTCAGTCTTCCTAGTAGCTGGAACTATAGATGCGCACTACCACACCCAGCTAATATTTTGATTTATTGTAGAGAATGAGGTCTTGCCAAGTTGCCCAGGTTGGTCTCAAACCCCTAGGGTCAGGCAGTCCTTGCCTCAGCCTCCCAAAGTGCTGGGATACAAGTGTGAGCCACTGCGCCGACCGGATTTTCTTTTGAGGTTTGGCACATTTGGAGAATCAGACAAGAATGGTGAAGCAATACTGATTTGGAGAAATTTTTAGCTCAAAGAGGGGAAAGTATAAGGTATTTTCAGTGAACCGGGACCTAAGTCGTTTAGCTGGATCATATTGAGGTAGAAATGGAATAGACCAAAAAAAATGAGTTAAGGAAAGATTTTAGGGAGCCTCAAAGCCCAAGCTAAATAACTTTGACTATATTTTCAAGTATAGGTTTATATTTATAGGGTACATATCCTTAAATAAAGTGTTAGTCATGGAAAGGATTTATGTTTGTAATTTTAATTTTTTTAATTCCCAGATGGGGCAGTAGATTTTGTACAATTGAAAGTTTTTTGGTTTTTTAAATTTTTTTGAGTTGGAGTCGCACTCCATTGCTTAGGCTGGAGTGCAGTGGCATATTCATGGCCACCCCAGCATCGACCTGCTAGGCTTTGGCAATCCTTCCAAGTAGCCAGAACTCAGCCTTCCAAGTAGCCAGAACTACAGGTGCGCACTACCATGCCTGGCTAATTTTTTATTTATTGTAGAGATGAGGTCTCCCCAAGTTGCCTGTCTGGTCTCGAACCCACAGGCTTAGGCAGTCCACTCACCTCAGCCTCCCAAAGTACTGGGATTATAGGCTGAGCCGCCAAGCCTGTCCAAAAGTTTTTTATACAGTTGACTTGATAGCTAATCAATGACTTTAACCTTTGGTATGTTATTATTAGTCACCTTAGGTCCTAAATCCCAGAGTGCCAGAATTTTCAGAAGCATATAGTCTTTTTTTTTTTTTTTTTTTTGAGTTGGAGTCTCACTCAGTCGCCCAGACTAGAGTGCAGTGGCTGCTCCTGGCCACTGCAGCCTTGACCTGCTGGACTCTGGCAATTCTTCCGCCTCAGCCTTCCAGTAGCTGGAACTACAGGCATGCGCTACCATGCCCAGCTAATTTTTTGATTTATTGTAGAGATGAGGTCTCACCTGCCCAGGCGGGTCTCGAACCCTCAGGCTCAGGCAATCCACTCACCTCAGCCTCCCAAAGTGCTGGGATTACAGGCTGAACCACTGAGCCCGGCTGCGTATAGTTTTACGTTGAAAAATTAAGAGACTATAGGACCAATATATGCTCCCATTTTTTTCTGAACTTTTTGGAGAGCTACTTACAAAAGCAGAATATTTTGTTTGCTACTACCTATATATTTATGATGTGGCTTATCAATTCTTTGTCTTTTTGTTTTCAGCCGTAGTCTGGGAGGAAAGCTAGGGGCCTCTGTCATTGAAATCCTGGGAATAGAATACATGGGTGAACTGACCCAGTTCACTGAATCCCAGCTCCAGAGTCATTTTGGGGAGAAGAATGGGTAAGTGATTCATGTTATTTTTCAATCATAACCTTTATGGAGTGCTAAGTTCAAATACAGATGAAAACATCTAGTAAAATCTAGACCTATCTTTAGGTTTAACTTTTGTTTCTTGAAGCAATTTTACTGATTCTTCTTGTTTTAAAATTTGGGGTCAGGCCAGGCACAATGACTCACAGCTGTAATCCCAACTCCTTGAAAAGAGGCTGAGTTGTTTGAGGGCAGGAGTTCAAGACCAGCCTGGGCAGCATAGTGAGAACCTGTCTCTACAAAAAATTTAAAAATTAGCCCAGTCTAGTGGCATGCACCTATATTCCTGGCTACTCGGGAGGCTGAGGCAAGAGGATCCCTTAAGCCCGGGAATTCAAGGCTACAGTGAGCTATGATCATAACCTGCATTCCAGCCTAGGCAATAGAGAAAAGAAAAAAGAAAAAGAAAATTTAGGTCACTATAGCCTACCAGCCTAGAATAGTTTTTTCACATATCTGAGTGGTTGATAGATGGGATTTGTTACTTTGATGACTGGTTGTATTAAAAAATTAGCACATATGAATGCATGTGTGCTAAGATGCTATGTTAACCCTAAAAATCCTGTGTTTAAGGCTCTAATAAGTGCGTGCGCGCGCACACACACACACACACACACACACACACACACACACACACACTCTCCTTGGGGGTATGAATCAGTGGCTTGCTTGACACTTTCCCAAAAATACCATTGATGACTTGGCTTTAGAAAGCAGAACGTGTGTCATTCTCCTTGCTAATATATTGCACTGGAATTCATTGAGAAGGTGAGAAGGGTGAGGGTTCTGTCAGAGGCCAGGTAGGTTAAATTTTGGACAGATTTTTCTTTTTCATGAGAAGGGTAAAAGGGCAATATAATATAGATTTTTGTTTTGTTTTAACAAGAATAATCATTTATTTTTACCTTACTTTATAAAATTCAGGTATAATTTTACCTTAAAGTTTTTTTTTCTGTTTTTATTAGGTCTTGGCTATATGCCATGTGCCGAGGAATTGAACATGATCCAGTTAAACCCAGGCAACTACCCAAAACTATTGGCTGTAGCAAGAACTTCCCAGGAAAAACAGCTCTTGCTACTCGGGAACAGGTGAGCAGCCATTCTTGACAGAACACCCCCTCTTTTAAAGAGGTTAGTGGGTAGGTTTTGGTAGCTGTGAAAGGTTTTTGTTTTGTTTTCGTTTTGGTTTGTTTGTTTGTTTATTTGTTTGAGTCAGAGTCTTACTCTGTCATCCAGGCTGGAGTGTAGTGGTGTGCTCACAGCTACCACAGCCTCAACCTGCTGGGCTCAGGCGATCCTTCTGCCTCAGCCTTCCAAGTACCTGGAACTACAGACGCACGCCACCATGCCCGGCTAGTTTATTTGTGATTTGTTGTACAGACGAGGTCTTGCCAAGTTGTGCAGGCTGGTCTTGAACTCCTGAGCTCAGGCAATCCTCTCGCCTTGGCCTCCCAAAGTGCTGGGATTATAGGCTGAGCCACTGCACCTGGCCCGTTCATTGAATTTTTACAACTATCCTAAGAGTTAGGTATAACTAATCCCATTTTACAGATGGGGAAACTGAGGCCCAGAGAAGTCAGGTAAAGCATATTGCCAGCAGTCACACAGCTTGTGGGGCAGAGCCAGAGCCTGGCTCCTGATCTGTCCACCTCTCTAAGCTGAGCTGCTTCCCCTGAGTTCCGTGATCTTGGTCTCAGCCTCGAGTTGTCTTCCTCCGGTCTCTTTTCACCCTCTTGCCTGGATCTGGCCTCCTCCCGGGAGCTCCCACCACACTCTGTGCCTTTTGAGAATAGTCACAGATTTTATCTGCTTCTCACTTTCTGACCCCAAGGACAGGGCCTGGGCCTCGTGTGCCCAGCACTCAGCACAGCACCTGCTGAGAGCAGGGTGCTCGGTGCGGGTTATATCATGTGTGGGACTCAGGCCTGTGGGCTGTGGATTGAGCTTTTGCTCAGGTTCCAAATGAGAACACAGCTTGAGTCAGATGCCTTTGCAGAAACGCTTCCCTGGCCCATTAGGAGCAAGGCATTACTGTCCAGGACTCTCCTTTCTTGACAGAAGGAACCACAGCTTGCACTGCCTTGGAGACTTCAGTCCTCATCTGATCTCATTCAAACATTGTTCTTCCCACAGACTTTTGATGACTGATTCCGAACCATTTATTCTGTGTTTTTTAATGTGAACTCCTACTATTCTCAAAAGGCAATCTCGGTCTCTATTCTTATAGTCTTCCATGGCCAGTTGCATCTCCCTATACATTATTTCATATTCTAACTTTTCTTTTTAGAGACAAGGCCTCTCTCTGTCACCCAAACTGGAGTGCAGTGGCACAATCACAGCTCCCTACAGGCTCGACCTCCTGGGCTCAGGTGATCCTTCTACCTCAGCCTTTTGAGTAGCTGGAACTACAGATGTGTGCCACCACACCAGGCTAAATTTTAAATTTTTTTTGTAGAGACCAGGTCTCATTATGTTGCCTAGGCTGGTCTTGAACCTCTGGTCCCAAGCAATCCTCTCACCTCCACCTCCCAGAGAGCCAGGATTACAAGTATGAGGGACTTTGTCCGACCACATTTTAAAATTTTTTGTAGAGATGGGGTCTTGCTATATTGCCCAGGCTCTTCTTGAACTCCTGGCTTCAAGTGATCCTCCCACAACAGCCTCCCAAACTGCTGGGATTACAGGGCTGAGCCACCACATCCAACCCCTATTTGAAGTTCCATAGTTGTTTTCTGTTCTCTGCAGTATTAGTTGTGCTTTTGGCTAGATAGATGGATTGTGCTTTTGGCTAGATAGATGGATACTACTTTTTCTGTTATCCAGCAATCTTGCTTTTGTTGAGCAGATGAGATATTCTTTTTAATCTTTCTGAAAGTAGATTGGGCCAGGTGTGGGAGGCCAACATCTGTAATCCCAGCACTTTGGGAGGCCAAGGAGGGAGGATCATTTGAGTCCAGGTGTTCAAGACCTGCCTGGGCAACATAGTGAGAGGTCATAGCTAAAAATATTAGCTGGATGTGGTGGCACATGCCTGTAGTCCCAGCTACTCAGGAGTCTGAGGTTGGAGGGTACATCGCCTGGGTCCAGGAGGTCGAGGCTGCCTTGAGCTGTGATCATACCACTGCACTTTAGCCTGGGTGACAAAGTGAGACTTCAACTCAAAAAAAAAGTAGGTTGCAGTCATTGTCTAATGTATTGTATTTCTTGCAAAACACTCACTGCTAATCTTTGAATTTTTTTTTTTTTTG